TTGTATCCTTCACACCAGCCACCGATCCAGTGAGTGATCTGTTTTCCCCTGAGCTCTGTGAGCCGCTCTGGCAAATTAATCGAACCTGAAGAGGGGGTCGTGGGAACCTCACTCAGATCTACAGCCGGGGGCGAGACGCACAGGTGACAACCCGGACTTGTGACTGGCAGTGGGGGCGGAGGACGACGGTCTGGTGGGACTGAGCCCCCATCCTGTGGGATGTGACACTCTCCCCAGGCAGACAGTGTCAGAACGGAGCTGATCGTAAGCCATGCGGTGAATGTCCACTGAACACGTGGCAAACCCCACGCCACGTACTGGAGAAAGTGACAGCCCCAGTTGGCATCCTGGCCGGCCCCCAGCCTGACTCTCACTGGCTCCTGGCCCTGTTTCCTCATCAAGACACAAGGCCATGCCCCGAATGTTGCAAAGTCTACCAGTTTTATAGAAAAGGCCTGCCAGGGCCAGGCCCAGAGGACAGGTGCTGGAGAAAGGGTTGTTGACAATACCACAACAAAGCAGATCCGTGCTTTCTGCCACTGACTTTTGGGGGGAGAAAAACCATTAAGAATATAGGAATGACATGAGGTTACCTGAGGATGAACCGAGGGAGCAATGATGGGGTGGGGGACTGGGGCTCACCCAGGGGAGGAGGAAGGGGAGAAGGAAGGTGAGGCACGATGTTCCAGGGAGGAAGCACTGTGGGGGCAAAGGCGTGGAAGTGTGAATGGACGAGCCAATCTTGAGGGTGAGTGAGCAGGGGGATTGTGGCTCCAGCTAGGGAGCAGGAGGAGGTGAGGTCCCAGAGTTCAGCAAGGCCCCGTCGGGGTCACAAAGCTTTAAAAAGGAAGCTGGGAGCCACCCCCTCTCTGGTCCCTGACAGCAACAGTCAAGGTCAAGGGAAGGGAGGCTCAGGAGGCCACATTCCATACCAGAACAGTCCCTAGCACCCAGGGTTTACAAGGCCAGGGGTTGTTCCCAAGGAGAAGCAGGGATCACCCGTGAGCCATCAAACTTCCTGGTGGCTGCAGTCTTAGGGTAATTTTTTTTTTTAAAAGATTTTATTTTTAAGTAATCTCTATGCCCAACATGGGACTCAAATGTACAACCCTAAGATCAAGAATCACATGCTCTACTGTCTGTACTAGCCAGGTGCCCCATTCAGTCTTAGGTAATTTTTAAACTAAGCAGATTAAAAGTCTGGGGCGCCTGCATGGCTCAGTTGGTTAAGCATCTGACTCTTGATTTCAGCTCAGGTCGTGACCTCAGTGTTGTAAATTCAAGCCCTGGTGTTTAGGCTCCAAAATGGGCATGGAGCTTCCTTTAAAAAACAAAAAAAAACAAAAAAAAACGTTAAAAGTAATGGCTCACCAGTCTGGACCCGAAGCCAGCATCACTGGGTGTCACAGGCATCAGAAAGGAGGGCTGAGGCCCAGCCTCCGAGTCACATCGTGGGACCCCAGACCCTACAGGAGGCGGCAGGCGCACCAAAGCCACATGGGGTGCCAGGGCCACAAAGGGGGTACCGCTATCACCCCCATTTTACAGATGAGGAAGCTGAGACACACAGAGAGAGGCCACCTGCCCCAGGCCCCAGAAATAAGGGGTAGCTGCCTGGCTCCGGAGTCCGGTTCTCGGGAGTCAGCGGGACAAAAGTCTATTCTCTAGAAGCAGTGCAGCCCCACGTAGCCCCTAGAGGGCCCTCTACCAATCAGCACGTCCCACACTACACTCAGCTTCCTCCCTCCTGCTAGTGGGGTGTCCCGCCTCCCACCCAGCCCAGGCACCTCTGCTGTTCATCGCCCTAGACCCCCACCTCAGGGTCACTCTAGACTGCCCTTCACCCTCACCCACAGCACTGCCCTGGGCCAGGCCTCAGGACCTCTTGCCTGGCTCTAGACTAACCTCTCCCTGGCCTCCCTGCCTGCACTCCTATCTCTGCCCATCCTTCCTCTGCAAGGCAGCCAGGGGCCGAGCCAGCTTTTCCCCACCCAAGTGCTCCCTGGGCTCTCACTGCCTGAATCCATCACCAGACTGCCAGGCCACATCACCTGCCTCCTGCCTCTCCCCCCAGCCCCACCTCATAACTTTGCACATGCTGTTGCCCTGGCCTAGAATGTTCTCCCAAAGTAGATCCAATGTGCAATATACTCTCCCACACCCCCTGCCCTTTCCCCTCTCAGCCTGACCACAGCATCCCGTGTCTGCCACTCCATGCTGCCTCCCTGGCATCCAGCTGAGGTTGAGCACAGAGTGGGCACACATCTACTGGCAGCAGCAAAAGACTGGAGGGGTGCCTCTGTGGCTCAGTTGGTTAAGCGTCCAACTACAGCTCAGGTCATGATCTCACAGTTCGTGGGTTCGAGCCCCGCATCGGGATCTGTGCTGACAGTGCGGAGCCTGCTTCAGATCCTCTGTCCCCTCTTCTCTCTGCCCCACCCCTGCTCATGAGCTCTCTCTCAAAAATAAAAGTTAACGAAAGAGAGAGAGAGAGAGACCGGAGACGCCACAGTCAGGTGGGGAAAGAGGAGTATGTGAGCTGAGACACAGCTCCATATGGGACACCTGGGCCTCTCTCCCGACCTCCACCGCCAGCCCAACAGGATCCAACCATGACCCTACCTCCATAGCTGCCACCCTGTCCCTACATGTCCCCAGGTACCACTTCTATCTCCTCTGGGTCCCCTACCCTGGGCTGGCTCCCATGGTCTCTTTTTCACCAGCAGCCACGGGATCTGATCAAGTGACACCTCGGCCTTAGGGTGCACTCCACCATGTGTGTTTCAGGCTGGGCTCTCACGGTGACCCTCCTGAGTGCTCTCAGGCAAGTGGCCTCATCTCTGGAAGCCTCAGTTCCATCCTCTGTAAAGTGGGGGTGACGGGAACAGAGATGCCAGCATCAGTCCGGGTCAGGCACTAGGCTGATGTGTACCCTCAGAGTTTCTGCCTTCACTGCTCTTCACATCTACCACTTTCTGCTGGGAAGGAGAGTTCCCATCAGCCTTGGCTCCAACATCACTTCTCTGGAGATGCCCCGGGATGTCCCACCCTCCGGATGAAGTTAGTCACCCACCCCTCTCTACACACACACTCCCACCCGGTGGGGACCAGGACTGCCTGTCTCCCTGCTGGTCTCACCCCAAGTCTCCCACTTCTGTCCCCCGGCACTAATGGGAGTGTCAAGGGGGCAGGTGACTGTGGTGGCAGCAGCTTTGGTCCAGTCACTGCTGTGCCCTGGGCGTGGACCAGCCTGTGGCATGCATTAAGTGCTCAGTGGACCACAGCTGGGTGACAGCCACGGAGGAGGTGATGGGGGGGGGACCTCCTGCCACCTTCCAGTGCAGAAAGCCAGCAGCAAGCTGTCCCAAACAGACCAGTAGAAAGCACAAAACCGCAGCCACTGAGTCAGCACCACACGGGGAGGACCTCGAGTGCCAGGCACTGTTCCGAGGGTTGGACATATTGAATAACGCGCGGTCTTCATGGCAACCGACAAAGTCGCTGCTATTATTATCTTCACTGTCCAGAAAGGAAACACATCATGAGCAGGAGTCCCTCCCCAGGGGCCATACAGCCAGTAAGCTGCAGAGTCACGATCTGAACCCCGGCAGTCTTAGCTCCCTGGGCCTACCCAGCAGGGCAGAGGTTTTCCCCGAGTGGCCATCGGCCAGAAGCATCAGCCATCAGCTGGGAACTCATTAAAATGCATATTCTCACCCCCCCCCCACCACCACCACCAAACTGCTGAAACCTGCTGAATGAGAAGCAAAAACCCACCAGGCCAAGCCTTACACGACTCTGACCCACTGCCATCTGAAAACTGGGGCTCTGCTGCCGCCAGTCTGGGCCCAGCTGATCCGACCTCTGAATCCACAGAAAGCAGCCCACTGGCTTGCCTGTGGCCTATGACATGGCAGAGCTCACAAAGAGGAGGTGTGGACCAATCCGCTATCGCCTCTCATTGGAGCCACGCCTCCTCGCTGGGCTGGGCGGAGTCAGAAGATGAAAGCGAGAGGGCGTGACTGGAACACAGCAGAGAGTCAAGACGAATGACATGACGAATGACGCGGCTAAGCTCCAGTTTCCTCCAGTTGTAAAATGGGGGTGTGTCAGCTGCCTTCCTAGTATGGGTGTGTTTAACCGGGCCGTGCGGTGAGACTGGCGCCCAATGAATCCTGAACTGACCAACGGTGATACTCCAGGTCAGTGGGGGAGCAGCACGGAGGCCGCTTGGGGCTCTGGAGAGAGGTGAGGCCATGCCCCCGAAAGCTCCTCTGTCCCCTTCCAGCTTCTGACCCACGATGCTTTCTAAGAAGGTCTGACTGGGTTTTATTGTGGGAGACACGCCCACGTCATGCCAGGCTTGTGTGGAAAGAACAGAAATAAACGCAGGCCACCCAGGGGAAGCCAGAAAAGAATCTCCACGTGGGCCATTCTACATTCAATGGGTGGGCCTCTCCAAAAGCCAACAGCGTGACTCAAGTGGCCATGCTGCCCTAATGAAAAGAGGAGACAGGACAACGCGGTGCAGCAGGGGGCAGATCAGAGCACTGCAAAACTAGCCAGGGAGGGTATCTGGGGGACAAGTGGCAACCTGATTATGGACTGGGCATCAGATAACGTGCAGGAATGATTACTTTTCTTGGGTGTGGTTCCGTGACTGTAGGAAGGTGTCCTCACGGCAAGGGGAGGCGCACCGAAGCACTCCGGCTTGATGTGTCACATGCTACTGATTTTGAAAGCGTTCGTTCAGCAAAAAATGTGTTATCCACAACACAGCAAGCAGACACGGCACCTGGCAGCCTGGTCACAACTGAGGACACGAGGGGTGGGTGTTCACTGAACTGCGCTTCAACTTCCCTACACAGATGGAGAACGTGAGTTCAAGCCCAAATGATGACCCAAGACCCCGGACACCGCCACTGGCCCCGGCACTCCTGCCGGGCACTGTGCCCACACTCATTATCTGCTGCAGCAGCAAACTGCCCCACTCACTGTACCTGTTTTTGAGAAGATGAGCTGCAGAATGAGAGGCCGCCGGGTGACGATTCCTGAACCTCGGGGAAGGAAGTCCCTGTGGGAGGGGAAAAGGACAGAAATTACTCAGCGGCTGGCTCGCGGGGCAGGAAGTGTGACCACACGTGTGAAGCAATCCCGCCTTGCGACTGGGGCAACCTCAGCAAAGATACCAGTCCCAGCCAGACACAGCAAAGATACCAAGATCCCAGCCAGATCCTGGAGGGTCCTGAGGCCACCGGGGGCAGAAGAGGGACTGGAATGAAGGTTGGTGGTGAATGGAACCGTTTCCCTCTGGCTGGCCGTGCTCCAGCCCCAGCATGCCCCCAGAGCCCTTTCGCTGACAAATATTTGAACAGTATCTCCTGCACCCCAAAGAAATGAGTTCATTTCCTACATACATGTTTTAAAGTAATTTAGTGCCTTATGTATGGTACGAAGACTAAATAAAAGGAAAGTAGTTGATGACAAAATACATGTTTCATGTCCCAAAAAGACAAATCGATGCAGGCAGGAAGTGAGTGGATCAATGGCTGCCCAAGAGGTGGGACATGAGGAGGGAGCTTTCTGGAAATGTCCTAAAACCTGACTGTGGTGATGCTAATATTTACTGTAAGTGTACTAAAAACCACCGCATTTGAAATGGGTAAATTTTCCTAGTATATAAACAATCCCTCAATAAAGCTGTTAAATAAAGAAACATACCCTGTGTATTTCACCAAGGAAATACTCAGGCACCAGCTGGACTTACACCACTACACGTGGGTTCATGCAAAGCAGGACGACCAGAAGGCACTCTGGACCATTAAGAAAGGAAAGCCGAAGAACCAGGGTCTAGTGAGCGTGGAAGTAGAAGAGGGATTTTCGGAGATTAAAGCCGTGCAAAGGATTCTTTGTTGTCTCATGTAAAATGGAGAAAAGTTCCAGGTTCAGAAAGTTTCAAACAAGGGTTGCACACCAATGTTTAGATTATTTGCAATCTGTGCGGGACACAGGACTAGTGGTACTGGGCAGGTGTGTCCCAAATACAGCAAGACAACAGCATCCTGGGGTTCTTAACCCAGGGCCACCGGCACCAACCCGCTCCCCAGTACTGTGACAGCCACAGTGCCTCAAGGAGGGCACCTCCTAGCGTCGGGAACCCCTGTTGGGAACCTGGAAGGCCCCAGAGGAGGTCACTGGTTCTCAGCTCAGGCTGGCTGGCAGAATCCCTGGGAACGTGTTAATAACCCAGTGGGTGCTGGAGGGAAGGAGGCATACCCGGGCATGCGCCCCACATGACAGCCTGTGGGCAGCCCCACCGCACTTCACCTCCGCTGGCTGGGCGCAAGGAGGTGGCAGTGACCACGTAAGGTTGGCCCACCGGCTCGCGCTCACGGGGACCTGCAGCCCGGCCTTTGAGACGAGGGGCCCTCTCTGGGCCTCAGGGCTCTAAAGGCCCCACAGGGGCACAGTCCGAGCAGCAGAGTGGGGCGCTCAAGCAGACAGGCGCAGACAGGGGTGGGGTGACAGGGATGCCGGAGTCCGGTCATCATTCTTAGAGCAAAGCAGCCCGACGGGGGTTAGGGGGACAGCCAGATTATAACTCTGTGTGCTTTTAAAGGTGCTTTAAAAGAACCCTCTGAAGGACAGGGGAGCCTGGATGGCTCAGTTGACTGAGCGTTTGACTTCGGCTCAGGTCATGATCTCATAGCTCATGGATTCGAGCCCCGCATCGGGCTCTCTGTTATCAGCACAGAGCCTGCTTCAGATCCTCTGCCCGCCCCCCTGCCCTCCCCCACTCACGCTGTCTCTCTCTCAAAATAAATAAACCCTCTGGCGGCCGCAGAGGCAAGGGTGGGAGTCCAGAGGCAGGAAAGGCACGAGGGGACTGCACTGGTCCACGTATGTGATGACAGAGGCTAGACCCAGAGTGGCAGGAACAGAGAGCAGTGGACCGACACTGGACAGAGCTGACAGCAGTTCAGGAGAGGACAGTCCAACCATGGAGGGTGGGGGGGCCCAAGAGACAGAAGAACATCCCAAGGATGCCCCAGGAGGACGAAGCCCGTGGCCCCTGGTGGCAAAGTCACCCTCTACACCTCAGGTGTTACGATGGAGGTGCTGGGGACAAAGAAGACACGCTACGGAGGTAAGAGGGCTTCGCAGCTGGTCTGGGCAGAGAAGGGGAAACAGGAGGTGAGCTACATGTAGGGGTGCAGATAGGGCAGAGCGGGGAAATGGCGAGGAGGCCCCAAGCAGGTCACCAGGCCCCAAAGTCAGTCAGTTCTTCACCTCGGCCCTCACCAGAGGGGACATCTGTCCCAATGTCTCCAGGAGAGCAGAGCCACTTCACGGCAGATGCCAGGGACAGGGTGGGCCTGCTGGTGGCTGTTAACCTCTCAAACACCACACTTGGCCTTGGCCCTGGCACTCCCAGAGCCCCAGGCCACCCGGCTCAGAGGCAAAGACCTGAGAGGCAGGGACAGGAAGTCCCTTGCACATCAGAGATGTGGCATCTTGGAAACCATGGGCGCCGGCCCTCCAACAGAATCACAGACAGCAGTGGTGACGGTGTGCACGTCCCGCACCAGAATCTTCCACTCCACCTCTTCAACACAACAGGAACAGGTCGGGGACCAAACGATACAGAAGCACGGGAATGAATTCCCCACGCCTGTCTATGTGGTTCCTCCAAGCTGCTGTGTGTGACTGCAGGAGGCTCCTTTCCACTGCTGACCCGTGCCCTGTGGCATGGATGGGCCACTTGGGGTCTTTCCAGTTCGGGGTCGTTACACATGTAGCTGCTGGGGCGCCTGGGTGGCTCAGTCGGTTGAGCATCCGACTTCGGCTCGGGTCATGATCTCGCGGTCTGTGAGTTCGAGCCCCGCGTCGGGCTCTGTGCTGACAGCTCAGAGCCTGGCGCCTGCACTGGATTCTGGGTCTCCCTCTCTCTCTGCCCCTCCCCCACTCATGCTCAGTCTGTCAAAAATAAACATTAAAAAAAATTTAAAAATAAAAAACCAAATACAGCTGCTAGGAACATTTGCACACATGCCTCTGGTAGACATACGCCCTCGTTTCTCCTGCTGAGTCAGAGGATAAACCTGAACAGGCAAAACTCGTCTCTGGTGATAGAAATCAGAGCACTTGGTTCCCTTTGGGGAACTGACTGGAAGGGGCACTGGGGAACTTTCTGGGATGGACTCTATCTTGATCTGTCTGGTGATTTCCTGAGTGCGTGAATTTACATAAGAAAACAAGGTCACTAGGCATCGGGGAGTGGTGGGAACATGGACTGAAGTTCACGGCGTCTGAGGTCACCCGGCCTCTGGGCCCACACCTCTGACTCAAAAGCCGCTGGCATCACCCCCGCCAGGGCCAAGGTATCGGCCCACGCTGTCCTGTAACTGTTCTGGGTGTGTCTGGGGGGGCCAGGCACCATGGACACAATGGAAACACTACAGACAACGGACAGTGAGCGCCTCGCAACAACACGAGGACCAGCACGATGCCCAAGAGAACCCAAGAGCTCCGGGCACGTGCAGGGAAGGCAGCTGGCCGGGGCTGGAGCTTGGTGGTGACCGGAGGGTGCAGCCCAGGCAAAGGAGGCTCAACCCGAGGGGGAGAAGGCCGAAGGACGAGGCAGAGCAGGCGCGCGGGGCCTTGCGCACCAGGCTGGGAGTGCCAGCCGCCCTGGGATTCCTCCAATCGCGTGTCCAGAAGCTCTCGAACTGCTGAGTGGAAAGGGCAGCAACATCGAGTGCGGACTCGGCCTGGACAGTCCCCCCAAAAGCAGCTCCCTGGAAATTCCCAAGAGGCTCGGGGAGGAAGGGCCCGTCCGGCTGTGCCCAGAGGATGTTCTGGCACAAGGCAGCAGGAGCGCCCTGGGGGCCTTCCCGGCCTGGGTGGTGGAAGGAGACCATCTCCCCTCGTAACTCTGCCCAGAACACCATCCGCTTATGTGGAGGCAACTTCCAAGCCTCAGTCGTCTGCTTCCTCCGCCCTGATTCAACCCACCCCCACCCCGACTGGACGCCCAGGCTGCCCTGCGCACGCTGTGACCTCCCGCCAGCTTCCCTGGCTCTCCGGTCTGGGTTTCCTAGTCAGCAAGACGGGGTGACACCGCCCACCTCGGAGGTCAGCTGGGTACCACACAGGCGCCCCCATGACTCACACTCCCCACAGCTCTGGCCCAAATGACACCTCCCTAGGGAGACTTGCCACCCCCACTTACAACTCCAACCCCACCCCATCGCCCACCTGCCCTCATTTTCTTCCTCGTCACTAACACTTCAAGTCACTTATCTGCTTACCTGCCCCCTTCTGCCACATAGCCCCCCAGGACAGGAGCCCGGGTCTACTCTGTTCCTTGGCACAGAGTAGGGGTTCATTGCTGCACCTGGCCTCTATCTATGGGCCTAGGCCTGGCCCACAGGATCCTCCTCCCAGGTTACCTATGGTCCCTTTTTTTTTTTTTTTTTTTTTTTTTTTTTTTTTGAGAGAGAGAGAGAAAGAGAGCATGAGCAGGGAAGGGGCACAGGGAGAGAGAGAATCCCAAGCAGGCTCCACTCCCAATGTGGAGCCCAACATGGGGCTCAATCTCACATCTGTGAGATCATGACCTGAGCCAAAATTCAGGGTTGGACTCTTAACTGACTGAGCTACACAGGTACCCCACCTATGGTTCTCTCTCTCTCTTTTTAATGTTTATTTATTTTTGAGAGAGAGAATGAGCACGGGAGGGGCAGAGAGAGAGAGGGAGACACAGAATCTGAAGCAGGTTCCAGGCTCCAAGCTGGGTTCCAACACAGGGCTCTAACTCACCGCGTTTAACACTCCGACCTGAGCTGAAGTCGGAGGCTTAACCGACTAAGCCACCCAGGTGCCCCTATGGTCTCTTTCTAAAACAAAGACGAGGCCTCCAAGCCTCCGTCCTACAGAAATCACATCCTGCAGTTGACAGGGTCCTCTACCTACCCATCCTACCAGCCCCACCCCTGCTTCCTCCTGCTCGGGGATCTCTTCGCTTCTGGCTTCTGGTCTTTGCAGGGACTGTTCCCTCTGCCAGGAACCTCCTCCCCACAGGCACTGCGCACCCACCCGTGGGCAGATACAGTGGACTGCATCCCTCCCTCCCAAACGCATGCCCTTTCCCACTCCCACAACATGGCTTTCAATGGAAGTCTAGCCCTGTGACAACACATGGCTTCCCCTGGCCTGGTCACTGCTAGATCTCCAGCACCTAGAACAGTGCCTGGCATACAGCAGGTGCTCATTAAATAGTTTGTTGAATGGCTAAGAGGAATATGGACGCTGGAACCAGAGAGCCTAGGTTCAAAGCCCAGCCCTGCCCCCATGAGCTGTGTGGTCCTAGGCAGGTCTCCACCTTCTCTGGGCACTGGCACGGCCATCAGTGGGATGAGAGGATGCCACTCACCCTTCAGGGAAGGCCCCCGCTGGCCTCCTGACCCGCACACATCACTTCACCCTCTCCGAGCCTCAGTTTCCAAGCTCTAAAATGGGCCACCTCTCCCTGGAAGGTAATGAGGGCTCCTGAGAAGAGAGTGGTAGGGAGTAGGGAGGGAAAGGCACAGCAGGTGGTGGCACCAGGGGCAGATCAGAAGTCCCAGCTGTTTATTTACTGTTGTTTGAACAGAGACCAAGGTCCCCCCAGGAGCCCTTTGACTTCCAGCCCCATACATGGGTGGGGATGCCTGGCTGAGGGAACAATAGAGGCTTAAAACCCAGGCTGGTAGGTGGGCAGGTGGAGGCCTTCCCAGGGGAGGGAAAACAAACAGATAAGCTGGCAGAGGATGAGTCAGAGCTGTTAAGGGCCAGGTCACCCCTCACCTGAGCAGCATGGTGACAGGAGGCCCAGTAAGCGCCCTTGGCTGGGATCCCTTCCTCATCGCCATATACTCATGGGGGTCACTCAAAGCCTCAGTGTGGCTAGGAGACCTCAGCACAACTCCAGCCATGGAAAAAGCCCTCAGCAGGAGGCCCACACTCCAGGGACCTGTTTGTACCCAGCCCACTCTCTCAGGCTCTGATAAGAGCCCATATAGGAAGCAGTGGCTGCCCCCCTAGCCCAGCTCTAACCCCATCTTTGGCAACATCTCAGCAAACCCTCTAGCAAGACCAAAAGAATGCAACCAGGGCCAACACTCCCATTTCCCAGATAGGCAGACTAAGGCTCAGAGTTTCAGGACTTGCCCAGGCAACTCAGCAAGGAAGGAGCAGAGCTGGGATGGGAACATAGGAAAGATGTCAGTGATGCAGAACCACC